GAGGAAGAAGAGCGGAGGCTGCAGATTTCTTAGCCTGCATCTGCAGTTTTATTTCTTTACTTGAAGATGTAGTATTTGTAGTCTGGCAGCACACTGAGCAAGCCAGAGAGGAAATCACAATAACTAAAGGAAATCTTTCTCTGGAGGGTAAAGTGTGCTGGCACCAGCAGAGTTTGAATTAGGGTGACCTGGTTATTGTTACACAGCACTTAAAAAAAAAAAAAAAAAGTGTGTTGTTCACTGAAAATGAGGTAGAATTAGCCTGTCCCTAGAAGCCAGCAAGGCCAGGAAGAGCAAGGCAGGTGTTAGTTCTTGATCTGGAAAACAAAGGGCGTGCATTTAATTAGCTAATATATTTTGCTCACTACTGAGATGCTACATCACCTTCAAGTTACTACAAAGCTGCAGCTGAACATTTCTGTTGGAAGCAGCAGTGTTTTGTTTTTCCCAAGTCACATGAACTCTGTCTCAGAGCTTACTGATTTGTCCGAAACATGCTGAAATACCGTTGCCTTCAGGGAACAGCATTTCTCCTCAGCTTTTCTGGACCCAACACAACCCCCTCAAGCAAATGCTCAGAGAGCTGGTTCCCCAGCACTTGGCTCTTCTTCCACTGGAGAACTGCCATTGACTTTGCCAAAATTGTGAACCCCAAAAGAGATGCAACTCTTACCTCCTTCCATTTGCTGCAGAAACAGACCCATGAGGGAGACAGGCTTCCACAAGTTTCACAGCAAGTCTGTTGCAGAGCCAGGACAAAACTTAGGTCCAACATAACTTCCAGTCCTGCCCTTTGAACATGAAATCCATAGCAGGGACAGAGAGACCTTCAGTGTGCACTAGGGACACCTCCCAGGATAGGGCCAGTGTTGCAACAGGGGACAGCCACATTTCCTTCTCCTCAAGTCCTCCTGCCCCATACCGGCAGGTCCAATCTGGACCACACCGAATGCACTGAGGTCAGCTTTTGCAACACATTTGTTCAGCAGTGATCTGTAGAGTTGCATTGGGCTGCAGAATGGATTTTGCTTTAGTCTCTGTATAAGCTGTGATTTACTTTGCTAGCAAAAGCTGCCTTATTAAACACAAAGTTCTGTAAAACTTTTCCTTGTCCAGAGCAAGGCTGGGAGTTACCTACCTGATTTTCACAAGAGAATATAAGCTACCACCACAGCCTGAACTGGTTCCATATTGCCCCTCCGTCAAGCAAAGTAAGGTCTCAGAAGCTCCATTGGACCCCTTTGCCTCTGCTCACATGTCTGAAGAGGAATACATCACGAGGGTGAGGAGGTGGTAAAGCCACGATCCAGCCTGTACAAGCAACAATCCACATTCCCAGGCAGAGAAGACAAGGAAGGTTTAGCCAGAGAATAAGAGACTGAGTCTCTCCAGGGCCTCACTGCTCTGGTCTTTAGCCCTGTTACAGTTCACAGAATATTATGTGAAGCAGTCCAGGACTGCCAGCAGCAACTGCTGTTCAGCAAGGATCCCGGCAAATAACATCTCAACTATAATTACCTCCTGACTTGTCTCCTCTCTAAAAGTAGAAAAGTTAGTTAAACAGCTTTGTTCATTATCTCCTTTCGTGGCCTATGCTGTTCATAGCTAGAATTTTCACTGTGCATTTTTAGCATCTCTCTTCACAATGCAGAAAAGCAACCAGACAACAGAAATGCACAAGATGTCTCCACTTGTACAGGAAACTGTACTTTTGTTGTTCTGCACTGTCTCAGACACAGGATAAGAAATCCCATCTGAAACTGCTTTCTGCCATTCTTGCAAGCCCTAGTGTAGAAACAGAAACGGATATGATTGCAGCATTGTGTTTTATAACCATGTAAGATGAATCTCATATGTACAGAGGAGAAATAATTCCCAATGAGCTGCCTATCTGATTTTTTTTTCAGCCCTTCCTGTTTGCAGATCACACCAGGAGTCGTCAGCTTCCCTGAATGTATTCATTACTCAAGTTATCTACTGAGTGATTTCTAGGGTCTATTCACATCCTGTAAAATTTTCAATTTCAGAAATTTAAGCCGCTTTGCTGAGTTGAGAACAGCCATACATTTTGTGTGGGTATATCTGGGTCTCCTTATTAAGATGAAAAGTCCTAGAATTACATTTTTGGTGCATCTAGAAGTTCAGAACACACTTTGGACATCAGGGGATAACACAGCTTTGCTCAATAGCAGTCCTTTAGTTGGGGATCACAGCGTCTGAGAGAGCATCTCTCAGCATCAGGTTCTCCAGTAAGTAGCCAAGCACCCTGCAGAATAAGCAGCATCACATTCTGTCACACTTCCAGGGAACCCAGCAAAGACCAAGGGTTCTACAAGGCTGAAAAAAGGGAAGACCCTCCCTGCTTGATTTTATCAACAATAGCAAAGCTGAGAGAAAAAACAGAGAGGATATCATATCCTAGGAACTGACCATTGAAGATAGATAATGCCCAGTGGTTAAACCCTACTTTCTGCTGGGTTCTGTGAGACAGCGCATGTTTGTACTAGTTTTGGCTGGGATAGAGTTAATTTTTTTCATAGTAGCTTGAGCAGGCAGCTCATCAGCTCCTTCCATTCCCTTGCTTGGAAAGAAACCAAGAGCTACTTGTGAGACACACACATACGCAGAGGAATCTCCTTCCTTCCACACCTCTGCTTTGACAACTGCACTGTAATGCATCTTTGATACTCAGCCCCACTCCTCCCCTCAAGGCCTCTCCAGTGGCCAGAGCTTTATTAATGCAATTTTACCTCTTGCTCAAAGTTTCAGTACCTTGGACACATTTGCGAGGCCATGAGATTTTCTGATCATGTCAGAGTACTTGTTAATGAATATTGATAGAGAAAAGGAAAACCAACACACACAGAGCCATGCTTGTAAAACCTCTGTGGATCTAGTAAAAGGTCAGCCTTTCCCTTCCCCACATCCAGCACCGTCATTATTGGGAGCAGATCAATTCTTGCCAAGCTACTGAAACAGACAAACTAACCTCAGCAAAAAACAGAGATGGCTGACGATCATCAGGCACAAGCATGCACTTAAGCACCACCACACACAGAGTTTCCAGGACTGACAGCTATAAAGTGAAGGACATCACTAATTTCACAGTGATTCTGTGTCAGCTGTGCTGTTTCTTTCCATCAGGAAGTTCAAAAGGCAGGTTTGGGAGCAGGAAACTAGGGAAAAGAGAAGAAGCCCTAAAAAGTTTGGATGCTGGAAATCAATAGCAACTAGAGGAGGAGTGAGAAGAGAGATGCCATTTTAAGTAGTTTAATGTTCTGGCATTTGCATTGCCTATTGATTAGAAAGTGCAAAAAATGCAGGTGAGGGTAGAGGGACTGATGACAGAAAAATCAATGGCTTCTTTACAGGAGTCATTCAATAGCAGTGAAGGAAATTTGCCATTTTGCAGAAATCACATCAGGTGGGTGTGAGCTGGCACGATCTCCTATTCCCCAAAGGAGGAGGACGTCCAAGCCTTTCACCTCCCACCTGCCTCTCATTAGTTTGTGCTGCTCCCAAGCTCAGCTCAGCGGAGCGAGGAGAGAGGAAAAAAGCCCAGTTTTATTCCTGAGCCTGTTGCCAATGTGTTGGCTGGCCCTAGGCCATCATTCCTGTAAAAGAAATTAGATGATACCTCTTCCTGCTACCTAAGTGTTGTGCAGCTCAAGTAGCAAATGCTTGCATGGTACTTTGAATATACCAAACTGTAGAACAAGCAGCTGTTACTATAAATACACTGATGATCACAGAGTACCATTGACCACACTGTTTATCAAGCTGGAGCTGAGGAAAACCTCACACTCACTGTGATTTATTTAGTAGTTGCTACATTTATTTTACTGTGTACCTAAACACAGGCAAAGGGCTAACAAGACAGCTTGATGAGACACAGCAGATCTATGTCATGGCATCACAGTAATTTCATCTTCACACTGACCATGGCCTGACTGAGGCTGTGACCTGGGTCCTTGACAGCTGTGCCCTGTTATCATACTTTTCTGAATAATGTGAAGACAGGACATACGGAAGACACTTTCTTTCTAAACAAAGAACACAAGCATGAGCGACCATGACAAATGGAGGGACAAAATCCCCATGTTGACTGCAGGAACATACAGAGATGCAAATTGTTATACTCTGCATCAAGAACACACCCAGCTTTCCAGCAAAACCTTAGAGACGTCACTGACTTTCATTGCTCATTGACTTTCTCACCCAGGTTTCTCTTACTGCTGCAGTAAATCTGCTGGGACTCAGGTGGGGAATGACAGAGCAAGAACAGGGCAAAGCCCCTAGAATGGCCATTGTTCAAGATACTTATCTTGCAAACAACATTTCTAGGCCATCCTGGATATCTAACAACACATGTCTACATCTGTGTTGACTCACCAAACTGCCTTGACAAGAAACAGAGAGATCCCTTCACTAATTGACTCTTTAGTAGAAAGAGAGAGGCAACCAGATCATGACTCATGCAGTCTGAGACATCTCACCTGGGATAAAATGAACATGACCTAGAAACACTTCATCCCTGTTGCTGCCTACAGCAGTGCAATATGACCCCACCCAGCAAGTCACCACCACATTATCTATATATTTTTGTCTGGAAGTGGTGAAATCTCTAGATAAAGCAGGAGACATCCAGACTGACAGACCTCTGCTTGCAAACAAATGGCTCCTTATGACAGCTACCAACTGATACTGAGAGCAAAAGCCTCTAAACTAACAGCAGCCATTGCTTCATGCTCCTCTTACAACAGCTCCCACAGTTTCTTCCCATGCAAACTTGTTTCCCTGGAAAAATCAGCAGCAACTTGACTCTTGGCTTAAGAGTTCAGTCACCACTGAATGCTTCAGCAAGCCCATGCAGAATATGATGCAGGGACACAGCAAACACTCGTGTTGATAGGAGGAGGGAGGGAGACAGACTGTCCCTCAACAGCCAATGTTTTGAGCAGAGCCAAGGACTGACACACCCTGCCAGCTAGAGCACTCACCAGGTTGACGAAGTCCTGGTAGCAGATCCTCCCCTCAGAGTTGCTGTCTGCCAGGGCCAGCAGGACCTCCAGCTTGTGGGGGTCCAGCTCCGAACCGTGTCTCTGGAGAAGGGAGCGAAACTTCTCAGTGCTGATGTAGCCGGTGTTGTCAGGATCAAACTGGGATAGGAGGGGAAAGTGCCAGAATTAACCATTCCACATTACACACAACTGCCCTCCTATTCATCACCCGCTGCAGACCCACAGGGACCCCAGGGGCTGCTCTAGGCTTTGGGGATGCATTGCCCTGCAATCACCCCCATCTCCAGCCTCCTTTCACTGCCCAGGGACTGCAAAGCACCCTGCTGCAGAGAGGGGTGAACCCAGGCATCATCATCCACCCCATCATCTCGTCTCCACCCAAGCTTCAGCTAAGTCAGCTCCCTTCACCTTTCTTCCCTCTGCATCCTCATTTCTCTTGGCTGTTTTTTATATCCCTCTCTATCTGGACTGTCAAGCAAACCAAAGATGCAGTCTGCAAGATAAAACATACTGAAAACAGTTTTACTCCTGTATTTCCTAACACAATTGCAACACATCCCTCCTCAAGCCCTTTCTGTGCTCAGTGTTTTTGACAGTCACCTTTCCAGATTACCTCTACAGATGCCTTCAAAATGGTAAGTGCTTTCACTGCTGAAGAGCTCTCTATTTTAAGATGTACTGGAAAGAAAGTCTTTGGACAGGGAACAAAGCAGATGAACATTATGCCAAACTAAAAGTGACAAGGTCACATGCCATTTTCAGAGCGTAAACCAGAGTCATTAGAAGGAAAGTCCCAGGTGAGATTTGGAGTGAATCCCACTCTGACCAAAACCATCACTGTTTTCCCTCAGACTAAGTGGTTAATCTCCTAAAAATGCCACTGACTGAAAAGAGACAGCTTTGCACGGCTGTTCAAACTTACAACTGCTTCCAGTGGCCTCTAACCCACCCTGATCTCCCCAGGGCACTCTGCAAGGGGCTGCCAGCTCACAGGCGGGCACAGCCCCAGCCCTGACAAAGCCAGCGCTGGCACCATGCCAAGCACGTTTCTTTTGTGCTTTGAAAACTAGTGGACGCAAGCTGCCAGACTAGCCTGCACTAGCTGTGGTGCAGTCTGATCTCTGCCAGCTCTCTGTTGCTGGGAGATTTGCCTTTGATTTCCCAGACTTGGCTGTGAGGACCCTGGTACTCACTGGCCTCCTTTTGTAGATAATGATATCAAGCTTGTTGGCTGGATTGAATGGCTGTCAGGGGGCAGGGTGGTCAGGAGGGAGTCTTTTCATGGAAACATTTGGGACATAAAAGACCTTGGCAGAGCCAAAAAGGTCCTGACACGTTCCTAACAGAGAACAAAAGCTGAACAGGCGCCGGGCCTTCAATCTGACGCGGCAGAGTAAAGGCTGCCTTGGCAAGGGAGGAGGTGAGAAGGGGGATGTGGCCCAGGATGCAGCCTGCCAGTGGCAGGGGGGGGGGCGGTCTCCAGGGAGGAGAGCAGCTCGCAAAAAACACACACGTACAGGCTGCGTTGGCAAGGGAGGAGGTGAGAAGGGGGATGTGGCCCAGGATGCAGCCTGCCAGTGGCAGGGCTGGCACTGCTCTGCAGTGAGCAGAGCAGCTATAAAACAGACAAGCCTCAGGCACGGGCAGCTTGTTTAGAGGACGCAGTGCCCACGTGCAAGGATCTGGCTCTTTCTCCTTCCAGCCCAAGCACCTTTGTCCCATCGCTCCTGGGGACTCCGCTGTCACTGGCTGCTTTGTTGAGGAGGAGCTGTCTAACCTGGGATCACAGCCCCTTGCTGGAACAGGGCTGGTCTGCTATTTTGTCAAAGCAGCAGCCCCTCTGTGAGGAAGCTCCTGGGGCAAGTGGATTACACAAAACAAGACAAACCAAGTGACCTGTGGACAGTCAGAGCTGGGCACTGTCCCCACCCTCTGCCAAGGGTTGTTCTGTCCTTGCAAGGTGGCCTGGATGTACCTTCCTGACAGCTGGCACCCAGAGTCAAAGGTGGATTTCATCAGCTGTTTACTGTTAAACAAGGGCTTAATATTAATCCCTGGAGAAGTTTAGCTCTCCTCCTCCAGTCAGCCCACTCTGATGCTTTGAATTAACAGATCAAATTCTAAAACCAACCCCAAAATCAGAGCTTCTCCACTCAGGCTCAGCTCTGAGGCTTTTTGGCTTTTGCTGGGACTCCCAAGCCAGCCTAAGTGTGCAGTGCTCAATCCCTGAGGCACAGATACCCAGGAAATAAAGTATTATTAGCATAATACCTGAGATGACCTTTCTCAAGGGGAATTTGCAGAAGCTGGGAGATGGATGAGTCATTAAGTGAATGGATCTAACACCTGCAGTCCCATAGATACTGCTGCATTCATCCTTGTTTCCTTAAAACATTTGACCTAACCAACAGCTTACTTAACTGCACCACTTTAACTATATCTTGACATTTAAGATGTCAGAACCTATCTTGTCTAGGATAAAACCATTTGCTCCTTGAAGGCTTAAATGCCTCTCTACTCTGAGGGCCAGGGTCGGTGACTGAAGCGTGGAACTCTCCCCCCGTGCTGTATGCTCACTGTTTGACTTTGTAGGAAAGACCAATGGTCACAGCAGTGGGGAACACAACTATTCCTTCAAAGGGCAGAAGAGATACAGAGCTGAAGCACACAGGCTCCCGAAGCACAAAACAGCTGCTCAGATCACAAACCACTTTTCCCAGACTGTTCTGCTTTAAAGCATTCCAAAAAGAAACATTTTGTAACTGAGAACAGAAATGACACAACCACTTCAGAGCTGCAAACCAGCCCACAAGGACACACTAATGGCTCCAGAGTCACTAGTGCTAGTGCGGACATGATCCTGTCACTCAAGATGGTACTGTCCATACCTGTCACTGGCTGCTGGCTTTCAAAATGGACAGACAGCTGAAGCCTGCCTGGTGGCTGTGAATGAGCCTCTGCTTCAAGGATGCTGCTTTCTCACACCAATAGGCACCAGCATTCCTCCTTCAGCTCACTGTCTTGCTGCTTATCCCAATGAAAGCAAAGCGGTGGCAGAAGGTAGCTAGTATTTTCAGTACTGTAAACGTGCTAGAGAGCCTGTTCTCCTCTTTCACGTTACCGTGTATAATTTTCTTTTTGGCACTAAGTTAATGATACTAATTGGAAATAGGTTTGAATTAAAACAGTGGATCTGAACAGCATGAAAGAGTAAGAGGTGAACAATGAACAACTGGCACCTGAACTAAAAAGGCCTGCCTCAGAGCAGGACCAGACCACTGCTTCCACAACCTGGAGCAGAATGTTTTACTGTAAGCCCCAGCTGTAAGGGAGTTCTCTTATTTATGTTTAAATAATTTTTTTCAGCATATAAAAGTCTCGTCTGTCACCACAGCACTCAAAATCCACCCCAACACTTCAAACTGCCTCAAACCCTGTTTCTAGCCACAAAAATCAAGGGGTTGAGCTGGTCCTGCAGAACACGTGTCCCCACACATGGCAAAAACAACTCGCGATGGCACACTTAAAACACTTGGGTTCATCAATTATAAAAGAGGCAACTGACCTTTGCTAGACGCTTCATGTATTTATCCATGATGATCTTGTTAAGGGCCAGTTGTCCCACAAGCCCAATCGAGCACCTTTGTCTCACCAAGAGGACAGACGATGACTAGCAGCCAGCAGCATGGCTGTGCTGAGCCCCAGGTCCAGCCCCACAGGCAGTGCTCCTCAGGCAAAGCCTCCCAGCAGCTAAGTCAGCACAGTGGCTTCCTTCAGCGTAGTTACCTCTGCCTCTGCCCATCTACTTGGGCAGACAAGCGCAACAGAACCGGTGCAGGGATGAGGAAGGCCATTTGCCTGCCCCCCCCCCCCCCCCCAAACAATAGGACACTAACGGCAATTTCATGCAAGGTTTCCTCCGCATTTCAATGACAATCACCCTTAACTCCCTTGATCCTCAACCAGGCTCTTAAGCAAAAATGTAAATATGTTAATGACCATAGCAGCCATCTGATCCAGGATCTTAATTCCCTAGCCCCAAACAAGCTATTTTTTCCTATTTCTTCCTTATTTTAGAGCAGACACACCATAAACTGGAGGCCCCACAGCAAAACTACTAGACAAAAATAAGGGGAGGGGGCCCTGCAAACTCTGATGGAAATAGGAAATACGGTTGAGAAAAGAAAATGAAATCTCAAATTGTTCCTCCTCTTTAATTAAAGACACATCAGCCATGGCTGAGTGAGCAAGTAGGGTGGAGGCTGGTGCTGCAGACAGACAATGGGTATCTTGGGAAAACGCAGACATTTCACATAGCGCAGCCAGCTGCTCCTCTCCCCCATGGCAAACAGCCCTCTGGGGCATCAGAGCAGCTGGAGAGTCAACAGCTGAGCTGGGCACAACATGAGGATCCTCGGCTGGCTTTAGGATTGCAGATCTGTTGCAGGAACAGAGAATTTGCTACCACCCATGGTTTCCCCACTGAGAGACTTGGTCTTGGCATCACCCAACCATAAGTTGTCTTCGCAAGGGGCAATGCTCCAAGCAACTTCATCTAATTTGGAAGTTGGCTTTGAGTTGGATCAGTCCCTTCAAGTCTGAATTATTCTATGGTCTGGTGGTATCTTCACTTCTGGGAGAGACTGGCCTGGCAGTCAGGCCTCCTGGCACTGACCCCAGCTCTGCTCCAGACTAGGAGGCAGATTCTAGAAATAAATTGCCCTGAGCTGTAGCTTCCCCTCCTATTATATGGAAATGACAACTCCTGCCTTATTTCCCACCAGAAAGGAGCTACCAATAGTAGACCTGCTTCTTCACATGTAGGCCCTTTCCCACTGGAAAGGGGGAGTCAATCACGTGCAAAATCTGTTCCTCTCCAAGGGTTTCAGAAACCACTCTGAGCTTTGCTGGATTTGAACTCAGACCATTAGATGGCATAGTCTCCGCAATCTAGGGATGCTAACAAGCTTTGGAAATAACCAGATCACCTTCAGCCTCAAGGGCCATGCTGTAGTTAAATCAAGAGTCTCCAAGTCAATACGTGGAATTGACCGACTCCAAGTTGAAGCTGTGAAAAGACATTTAAGACAGGCATTGAAACTCTCCTCAAGATAGTCACACATTTTACCAGAGCCCATTCTCTACCTTTCCACAGTCTCTGGGGTCACGCTGCAGGTTGGCGAGAGTTTTTTTGTTTCTTTTTCCTAAAAAAAAACCAAAACCAAACAACAAAAACAACAACAACGTGGCAACGGTATATGTAGCATTTGCTACTTTGATGAAGATTAAAGGAATGACAAGGCAGAAGATGAAAGTCTGCCTTATAATCCAAATGAGAGGGCAAAAAGCAGGGGCTGTTTTAACAAGAATTTCATCACTGCCTAGTGGTGATGATCTTCCGAGCAGCTTAATGATCCTACTCTCTCTTCCAAGAGTGGGAGGTGTAGGTGAGAGGAGAAACCCTGATCCAGAAGAGAGGAAGGCCAGTCAAAAGTAAGTGCATATCCCTCCACCTTGAAAGCCAACTTCTCACCATTAAAAGTCACCTAATCTGAGTTGCCTGAACACGTGTGGTAAAACATAAGTGCTGGCTCCAGTGGCACACACTCTCTTCCCCTGTAAATAATGAATTTACCCACCACTGCCCAGACAATATAAAGTGATTAAGGGCTGTCCAGCAGTACTTTTAGCACATGTTAGATTGCTTTGACCTGAGGTGAACCCAAGGGCTGGAAACATCACCCAGCGCTCAAAAGCCAGACTGCATTTAAGCACGGAGGATATACCCTCACTAACTCACCAAGCAGAGTCCCCAAACACACCTGCTCCCTGGAGAGCTGCAGTGAGAGAGCACAGAGCTACCCAGCTCAGCATTCACCTAGGCAGGGAGGCATTCACAGAGCAGATGGCCCGTCACCTGGGTTTGGGTAAGTGTCTCTCTGTATGCAGCACACGGCAAAATGGAGATGGAGGGAGCTGGTATAAGATTCGCTTTTCCTTGAAGAGCGGAGTAGCCTGAAGGACCAGTTAGCTAGCTAATCTGTAGAGGCATTTCTCCTCTAATTTATTTCTCCTACTGTCTTAGGCACAAAAATGAGGAAGGGACCTACATTACTACCATCTGTCGTTACCTTCTGCAAAAGCACTTCATCTAAACAAATACTGGAAGCACAGATTCAACAAGAACAGGAGAATAAAAAGATTCAGGAGTGCACTACTGCTCAGTTGTTAGGCACACAAAAGAAGGCTTTGGGACCAGGTATTGGCAAGATTTTTCAAGTGAGCCCAAGTGCTTCCTGTAGTGCCTTGACTTCCCCATCTACAAGGCACAAGCAACGTACCTGTGCCTGCGTGATCCAGTCAGTGAGGGCTGTGGAACACTCACGGAGTGTGACTGGATGATAGCTAAAATGGCAAAGGGCAATCAGTGAGCCACAAGGCCAAGCAGCACAGGGAGGATATGACAGAGCTGGCCTTCTGCCAGGGTTGCATGTATAGAAACGTATCAGACTTTCCAAAGCCAATGACGGCTGGACACCACACTGAACTCCTTAACTCCATAGAGGTTCAGACCCTGGTCGAAGCCACCATAGGCCAAGCAAATCCTACATTCGGAGATCCCAGGAATTTCTGACCCGTGGCTTGCTAGGGAAGCCTATCATGCTCAGCCAGGTACCCAAATCCATGTTTCTGTCTCCACACACATTGTTAATGCAACTCTCTCCCCTATCCTTCCTCTGCCTGTGGGTTCCTTGCTGCAAGTCCTTGCTAAGACATTAAGAAAGCATAGAGCTGAGATGCACTCACAGGACCTGTTGAGCTAGCTTGACAACCCACCACTCTGAGCGATCCCACTGCCTCTCTCCAGATCAGCCTCCTGGCAGAACACTCACAGGAATCAGCCTCCAGCCTCAGCTGGGGAATTACACACAGTGTTCAAGCCATCCGGAACTAAATTATTCAAAATATGCCACTGTGCTGGCTTTGAAACCAAAGCCGCTCCCCAGAAGAAGCCAGGGTAAATAGAAGCTCCATTATCAGCAGCACTGACGAGAAAGGAGATGCAGCACTGAAAGTGAGGGAGATAATTACATGATTAACGAGACAGCATGGATGGCAGGAGATGCCCTCCATTATGCCACACAGCTTAATGCAAAGAGACGTGTTTATAGACTGAGCCTTCTCCAGCTCTGCTTCTTCCTCTTTTATTATTTATGTAAGTGCATTAAGACTAATGGAAAGAAGCTGAGGCACTCTGAAAGGTGGTGGGGTTTTTTTAGGTGGAAATATAATTTTTAATCTTGATGCAGCACTAGACACCTTGCACATTTCACTGGATAGATGTCCTCAGCTGCAGCAACAGGCTGGGGAGGTTACAGCCCAGACTGGCAAGTCATGTAGCTTATATCACCAGCCCAGCTCTGGTGCTGACCATCTGTGCCTTTCTGAGACTGTGGGCAAGATGAAGCCTACAGGAGATCACCTAGTGGCTGCCATGACCAACCCCACCCCAACAGTTAAAACCTTTTCTTAAATCCTTAGGCAAAAGGTTTAACACTGTCTCCAGATCTGCTTGTCAGCACTGGCCCAGACATTGTTAAATGTACAAATGCCCAATCTCTTGCTCTCCCTTGTGAATTCCTCTGGTTTTTAGGGCTCCACAACCTCCTGAGGCAACGAGTTCTGCAGTCTAATTAAAATAAAACCCACTTTTCATCTGGATGGTGTAAGGCATTAATTATCAAAAGCTGAAAACAGCAATATCCATACTACCATGACACACAATAGTCTCATCGACCACCACGTAATTATTGTTTATGTCTTTTTAGTTATGTCTTACTGGAGAATCTTAAAATCCTTTATCAATATTAATTACATCTCTCAGGGCTTCTACATTGTGAGGGGACATAATGCGTAAGCCACTTCATTCAGAGTTGAAATGCAATACGCTCTGGGTGGGATGCTGCATTTATTTGGACTACATAACTCAATAGAAGGGATATCATGCACAGTCAACCTCACAGCCTGGAAACAGATAGGCTCTAATCACTATCGCTATGACGAAAATAAAAACAACAACAACAACAGAAAACAACACACAACAGTCAGAATAGCTGTTCAGCTGGGGCTGTATTTCAGGCCAAGTTCCTGCAGTCAGATCCCTGCTCACCTCCAGGTTAACTAAACGTACACAAGCATTTCTGTAAAATTCACTGCTATTGACAATGTCTCCTGTCACAGCAGCGTCTCTGCTGGTACAGATGAGGCAGACGAGTCTCCTCATTCAAAACAGGGTTTTGGCCTAACGTTATCTGGAAAAAGTAGCATAAGTGATACCAGCGCAAAAGTGTCAGGAGTAGTTGAAAAGTTTCTGTTCTGTGTTTGGACCAAAGCCCAATGAATTATCTCTGTCATACGATGATAATACACTTTCTGTCCCAGCAGTAACTCTGGAGGAGAATGTTACACAGCAGCTGCTAAAGTTAAATAGTTTTGAATCAGCAGGTCAAGGTAACTTGCATCCAAAAGATTTTAAAAAGGCAGTACTAATACTGATTTTCTGCAAGTCTGGGAACACTGGAGGAACATCAAGAT